TATACATATATATATACATATATATATATATATATATATATATATATATGCATGCACACACACGCGCAAACAAACAAGCACACACAAACAGCTTCTCGCCAATATACTATTTTGCGATTGCACGAATATGCAAAAACACGAAAATGAGCTTATGATCGATGCTGGGTCGAACTCAAGTAACTACTGTCTTGTATTCCAGGGTTGTTTCTGTGCTTAAGAAGACAATAAGCTGGCCAAGATGTCTCCCGCTATCTCGCGGCTCTCGCCAAGCAATACTGTGCTACTGTTATGTGATCTGCAAGAAAAGTTCAGGTTCACTCGTATTCTGGTGAAGGTGACCTAGAATTGCTCATAGTTCGGTTGCAGACAGTTAGGAGGTATTTTTGTGATACTTGGACGCTTATGGGTCACGGAAGTCAAAATGAGATAAGAAATTGGCATGAACTGGGCGGAGGATACACATTTAACCATACGCGTACAGAGTTTTTGAAAGAGGTATTATGGCCGTTTTGACTGAAATTGTATTGGAGGGAGGTATGCGTAAATGAGGCTCTGCTAGGGTAGGTTTGATAGCGAATTGGCTATTTCAGAAATCGAATAAGCTAGAAGGCTGAAATTTTGCAAAGGTATTCTACGGTTGTGTATGAATTAAAGATTTTAAATGGAGCTTCGAGGCACGCCTAGATTTCACGTTACAGATAAGTAAAGTTCACCTGTTTATTTTGCAACAAGACTAAGCAGGAAACCGGATTTTTTTGCGAATATTAAGCATAAAACGGACTTTTATGAATGCCTAATTCTCTTTTGCGGATGTATCGAACTTGAGAATGCGTTTTGCCGACTAAATCTTGTATACGCCGAAGCACTCGCTTAATATCCAGTAATGAACAAAGTAGTTTTAAATGATTGCATGAGGTGGTTCCCGTAAGATCCAGAGAACAGCAAAATTGGCCAGATTCGCCGTTCTAAAAATATTCTTTAATACAGTGAATTTTCTTTCTGCAAATTTTGCAGGCGGTCCACACAGGAATGCACGTATTGTCAGTAAGATGCGGAGTGACAGGGCAGGAAGTCATTTTTTACTTCATTGCAGGCCAACCATTAAATACTTTGATGCAATTGTTAAGGTCAGTAAACGTCTCATTGACGCTGCAAATCTGTTTGAAATGAAAATAATCGCAACTGAACAATCTCCGAAAGGTAAGATCAGGCAGATTAGAGACCTCCTGTTCCTCATTCGTTCTTTTTTTTTCCCTCCACCTCTACACCCTTCCGTGCTTCCTCGATGGGCTTGCACTTGAGACTCGACTGTCATCAATTGTCATTTTCGTTGGCCTCCATGGTTGCGAATTTCAAAGCTATTCATTTCGGAAAGTTTACAAATGAAAATTGCCATAAGTGGTTCGTTTTACTGCTGCAGTTCGTATTTTTAAAATTTTCCTGCTGCCAATACAGTAAAGAAGTAGCAGGCGCCACCCTTTTCAAAATCTTGTGGCAAATTTCAATAATTTTTTAAGAGCAAATATGTGCCGGCCTAAGTTTCCGTCTGATGAAGGTTACATTGAAGTTATAGTAAATTCATCAAGGCGCTGCTCAACTAATTTCCCTTTTGGAGAAGTTTTCTCCTCCTTCGAGAAATCCTGGCCACGCTGCTCTCCTTGACCACTAGGGAATTGACAGTTCTAGAAATACCCACTGTTCCCACTCTGCAAAATAGCAGTAGGACTTATCGAAGACGAATGAGTAGGCTTGTGAATTGTCCGAAAGAGGCCAAATTATTTTACATGCGACTTAAAAATCGGAAAAAATGGCTTCTTTTTTTTTTGTATTGGCGGGAAAGCTCTTTGGCTTGGTTAGCCTTCGCGGAACAGCCCTCCAATGGTAAGGATGGGATGCCACGTTCGTGAGTCATGTAGAAAATGAACGAATCATAGGTCTGATAAGATTTTCCATTCCTCTCCTCTCGTCCACAAATATCCCCAAGTCGTACTGAATTTCTTTACGTCTGTAGCTACTCCCAATTCTTGCAGTTCGCGCTGGATACTTTAATCGAAGACTGACATATTTTTTTTACGCTAATATTTACAGACAGCTGAGGAAGCACTGCCCTGCAACTTTTGGATGATTAAAACCACCGAAAGAAGCGTGGCTAATGTCAAATATTATTCATATTTTTTTCCATTAAAATTTGATACATGCTGTTACGTCATCACTGATTGTAGAAAAAAAATCACTCCCTAAGCTGCGGCGTGCGCTCTTATTATGGTACATTTTCGCAAAAATGTTTTAGATCTTGGGCATTCCGTAAGTGAACTGGAGCTTGCCAAGCATAACGTACAGGTGTTTGAAAAAACGAACTTCAGTATGTGTATTCCGCCAGTGATTGAAGCTCTTGGTTCGGCGAAGTCGGTGATTTTATGTGGCATCGAGACACACGTTTGTATCCTGCACACTGCTTTCGATCTGCTCGAAAAAGGAATCAATGTCCACGTTGTTGTTGATGCCGTCTCATCACGCTCACAGATTGACAGGTTTTTCTTCTACAGTCAAAAAATCACCAAAATTACCAGGACTGCCCTGGACAGTCGGTTTGAGGGTTGTAAGTTATGTTATTAGGATACTTCTACACCCTGGACATGTCTCTTTGACCCTGAGCTGAATACCACCATTTGGCACCTACCATCTCTTTAGCGCCATCTTATCGGAAGCCTTCAGAATTATTGATTTGAATTTTGGCGAATTTATAGTTTTTGACTTTGATGTGCATCTAACCGTATTTACAACCCTTACGAGATCTTACGGAATTGTTTGAGTACAATATATGGTACGCAACCTGCAAATTTTTTAGCAGTTTTGGTGCTGAATTTCGCTGCATCTCATTTCGAAATCCAAAATTACCGATTCCTTTATTCTCACCATTTTCAGCCAAAATTTATGACTTTAGTCGCTATGACAACATAACATGAGCACTGTAGTAAGTTTGTCGCAGTTTTACTATAAATTATTGTTTCGGCATATTTTCGTCAATCATTCCTGGATCGATTATAATAACGAAATGCATTGCTCGGAAAATGCACAGAGGATTCTTTTTGCAGCGTGTCCGTTTTGAAACTAGTTCAGCTCCTTGATAATATTGTTTTGCAGAATATATGCATTACGTCAGATGGAGCGCGCTGGTGCAGTACTGACAACGAGTGAATGTGCTATTCTTAGTTTGCTTGGAAGTTCAGATCATCCAAAGTATCCTGAAGTACAAAAAATGGTTATGGAATGTGCTCCAGATACTGGTCTCGTCTAGGACCATCAGTGAATTTCGTGATTTGTTGTAACAGCTGCACAAAACGCATATTGTCACATCCATTTTTCTGTATACATGTGTTTGTTTGTGTATGTATGTATGTGTGTGTGTGTGTATACGTGTGTGTATGTGATACGCGAAGTGAAGACGTGCTAAGACCCTTGATTATTATGATATAAACCCAGAGGTGATATTTGACCATAGTTGAGTGTGCAGTGTACTTAGTGCTGCGTAACGTGATGAGCGTCTTTGAACAATTCAAATCTACCAAAGCAGCAGCGAGTTATATTGAGCTAGGCTAAAGCAAAGCTCATCTTATTTCTAACACGATGCAGATAATTGATTAACAGCGCTAACTGTTTCCACCTTGCAAATTTAAGTGCAGGATTAACATACGCTTAGGAGTCAAGTACATGCAATTTTCGGTAAAAAAGTCGCTGACTCGGAAATCAGGAAAGCTGAGAAGCTGAAATTTTAGAGTAGTATTCCAAACCTATTTGGTATCCTAAAAATTTAAAGTCAATCTCCACTTACTCCTAAATTCCGTATACGGGCAAATTAGAGTTTTGGCGTGAAATTTTCTGGTTCAGAAACTGGTAAGATGAAAGAGTGAATATGTACTACGGCAATTCCTTGAAATCCCGGAACTTCAACATTCAGTTTCCATGTACGCTTGTATCCCAGATATAGAAATATGATGTTTTATGCCTGGAATTTTGGGAACTATACGAAACACAAAGCTAAAAAAATAATCGAAGGATATTTTCTGTTCATGTGTGAACCTGAAGATTTAAATCCGAACGCCTACGTTGCACGCATGGCACGTGGAATTAACAAGTATTTTTGCGTATGCTAAATTGTAAAACGACAGATACTCCTAACAGCAACTGCTTCGCTGAACAGAACTGCAAGAAACGCATAATCACACCGGCTATTCCGGTGCATAACGCTCTTTACCTCATTTAACACCGTAGATCCATTGTCTAATTGCAATCTGCCAGTTTACTTGCGATTTTTCGCCTTCGTTTATCCACCGAGCCAGTTAAGCTCGATTGCTTGCTGGAGTTTAATCGTCTAATAATTTCACTGCTCTGTTTGACTACCTCCTGTTCGGTATTGTAGGATTTGCTGTCGCGATTCATGTAGATTCAGTTTCGGCTTTCGCTTCTCAGCGGCTATTCCAATGCTTCGCTCTTTCTACTGCATGCAAAACTCTTTTGAAATGCTCAACCAGTACTTGTTTATGAAACCGAATTTAGTGTCTTTGTGACCATGTTTTTGCACGTCTCTGTTTCTTGGCTTATTTGATATACTGAATTTTTTCAGAAGTAAATTTAAAAGTCGGAACTAAATTTTACTGCACACAAGTTTAGACATCAGTGGTCAGTTCGCTGGCAGTCACGAACATTTGTAAGGCAAATTCCCACAGAGGAGAAATTTTGCAGCTCCGGCACTACGTATTCTTGCTGCATTTGGGATCATCGTCGTCCAAAATATGTTGATTTTGATCGGTCAGCCAAAGCGTGCATATAAACACCGAAAAAATTTTCCTTTGAATGTCTGCACGCAAAAACCTCGTCCTCAAAGTGCGTGCATTGCTAACGAATAACATTTGAATATGAACTAACGTATAAGGGAGTTGCTACATAAAAAAAAAAAAAAACATTTTAAAATGCAGTTCTGTTGACGAACAGACTCGCAAGTTCTCCAGAAAAACTGCCAGGATATAAAAATCCTTCTTCCTTAAACATGTTTTGCAAAAGTAATTGAAGTGGGAGTAATAACGTTACGGTGGTTTCTTTTTTTTTCTTTTAATAAAATAAAAAGTTTGCTACATTTCACCACAAAAAACACAAGGAGTGTCGAAAACACACCTGTCGAAAATACCTCGGGTCCTCATGAGGCTATTTCAACTTCATTTAGTCAAAAAAAAATAGTTACAAAACTTAAATTCCCCTCCCCTTCCCTCGTAATATTCATCACTGATCAGAAATTTTGCTGAATTATTTGCATATTATTGTAGGGGTCGTGCTCCACTTGTTTTTGCTTATTCGTGGTACCGCAATACTTGCAGGGCACCTACTGTGCTTTATCCCTCTTCGGATGTGTGTATGTGTATATGTGTGTGTGTATATGTGTTGCCGGTGGCTCGGAATATGTATCAGTGATCATTTATACCGTTAAAAAAGAAATAAGGCTTTATTTGCGGATGATTAGTTTCGAGTGTAAATTATTGTAAAATATGAAAAATAACACCGCATAAAAGGAACCTTGTTTTTATAAATGAGTCTTTTCTTACTGTATTACGCATGAATATTTGAAATCAAATGTCAGGTCTCTAAATACTCAGTGCGCGTGAGTAGATAGAATTTTTATAAGCAAAGCTGACAGTTTTCCGGAGCAATATCAAATTCTAGCCCTCAATTGCAGCATTATGAACCGTGCAAAATGCGGATGTGTTTCGTCATAAGAGATGCTGGATTTCATCAGCGTTCGGGGTTGCGCCAGTCTCTTTCCTAACATCTTTTTTTTTGTCAACTGTCAATTAAATTAATTTAATGTAATTATGATCAGCTAAATACCGTTCGTACGATGTTGACGTTGATAATGCTTCGTGTGTCTCAGTAAGTTAACCTCATTTATTAACGTTTTCGACGGAGAAATTAGTTTTTTCGTTTTCTTTTACGCTGCTTTTGCTTCGTAGCTTACTTAAATTGAAGAAATTTCGCCTTAATGTTTCATTTTTATATTATTTCTTCCACAACTCACAAGTGCAAGAAGGAAGAAATTTTTTGCTCATAACGGTTGTTTTGGACAATGGAAGAGAAATGGAAAGCGAAATTGGTATGTCCAGTGCTCTTTGACCATGCTGGACTTCCTCTTGCTTAAATCACTGCTGTAACTAACTGGATTAGTCTAACACATGTATCATTTGCCTTAAATTTTCGCTTATAGTGCAGTTTTTGGCCCATTCCGCTTCTGCTTGTCGCTGTATAATTTTTGTATTCAACGACTCCAAAGGGCAAGTCGCTAAGGCACGTAAGTAGTATTCTTTATGCAGCTTACGGATCTTGCTTTGTAATATGTGGCAGACAGAAGAAATGGTCGATTTTACCAAATTTTAATCACCACAGATAACAACATTTCCGAAAAAATTTAGACACTTGGGAAAGCTGGAAACTTTGTACAAATCCCTGGTTACAAAGCACGGCTGTGTTGCTGCTAATCGGGCCAGCTGAAGAATGCCTTAAACACGGAATCATTTTCCAACCACATGATTTTCGTTTTTAAATTTATCACATATCACAAAAATTTGCGTAATAGCCAGTATTTATGAGAATCGTGCAAGATGATGGTAATTCTTAATTTCGTGCTAATGGACCAGTCTAATAGCCGCTGGATTCTACCGAAGTGGGAGCTGCCAGCGGTTGCGCTGCTGGTGCTGGTGCTTGTTCTGCAGGAGCAGGCATTGGTGCCACGGGGGCTGGTGCTGGAGCTACAGCCTCGTCACCATAAGCATTGTTCCTCTTTTTCCTATAACCACTAGATTCTACCGGAGCGGGAGCTGCCAACGGTTGCGCTGCTGGTGCTGGAGCTTGTTCCGCAGGAGCAGGCATCGGTGCAGCTGGCGCTGGTGCTGGAGCTACAGCCTCGTCACCGTAGCCATTATTTCGCTTCTTCCTGTACCCGCTGGATTCTACGGGGGCTGGAGCGGCCAATGGTTGAGGGGCTGGTGCTGGAGCTTGTTCTGCTGGCGCTGGCATTGGTGCCGCAGGGGCTGCTGCTGGCTCTACAGCCTCGTCACCGTAAGCATTGTTCCTCTTCTTTCTGTATCCGCTGGATTCTACTGGAGCGGGGGCTGCCAGCGGTTGCGCTGCTGGTGCCGGAGCCATCTCAGCCGGAGCGGGCATTGGCGCTGCAGGGGCTGCTGTTGGAGCCAACGCTTCATCGCCGTATGCGTTATTCCTCTTTTTCCTGTATCCGCTGGATTCCACTGGAGCTGGAGCGGCCAGAGGTTGCTCTGCTGGTGCTGGAGCTTGTTCCGCAGGAGCCGGCATTGGCGCTGCTGGTGCTGGTGGTGGAGCTACAGCCTCGTCTCCGTAGCCATTGTTTCGCTTCTTTCGATATCCACTGGATTCCACTGGAGCTGGAGCTGCTACTGGTTGCGGTGCTGGTGCTGGAGGTTGTTCCGCAGGTGCAGGCATCGCTCCCGCGTACGGTGCTGGCGGGGCCACCGCTTCGTCTCCGTACGCATTACTCCTTTTGTGCACTGAAATACTGTGAATTAGCAAACACATTAGTAGTGATATTTGGGAAGAAAACTTTTACATATTTCTACACTCAGTTTCCTTCATGAGCTTCGACTTTTATAGTAATGCTTGCTGGGCAGTTATTTCAAGAAGGCAAATGAGGAGAGTGCAGTGAGTTACATCGCTTAACACTTTCAGCTACGGCTGCTTTTTTTTGCTTTTTGTACGCTAAAAGCGACCGAATCCTCAAGACTCCTGTCTGAAAATTTTTGAGATGTTACACGCTAAAATGGCGGCATAATGCGAGCAGTATCATCGCTAGGTTTCTTCGCCGTACTCAGTGTGTCATTGTTGTTTCTTGCAAGCAAAAAAAAAAAAAAAAAACATTTTAAAAATTTTTGTTTTGTTGCAACAAATAGAAAACAAGGAGGTTTTTAACATGGCAAACCGATGAACCGGATACTAAAAAACATGTTTTGCAGCAATTTCTATTGCTAAGGGGTACTGATTTTGGGGCGAAAGAGTGGGAGGGTGCAGCCAGCCCACCAATCTGTATTTCAAAATTATGTTTATGAAAATCCGATCCTGTCAAATTTTTGATCCAAAATGAAGGAACTGAAGATATTACTCTGTTTAACAACGCTTTTACTAGCACAAAGCATTCACCACCAAATGATTCCTACTTCTAGTCAATTTTTGAGGGTAAGCTAAAAGAGAGATGAGTTATTAGCATTTCCGGGACGCGAGCACTAATTTAACACGGAATAAGTTAGATGCTGCGGCTAAACTCTGGACGGAGCACTCTTAGGTTACCATCAGTTTACCAAACTACGAATCGAAATTCAGCGTCAATTCACTAAATTCCCCCAATGAAACACTTCATAATGTGTTAGTGTGGGACAATAAGCGTCTTGCGGTATGCTTGCCAAGTAGTGTTCTTGGCAATGGCATTGGCCAAGCTCTATCTAATATCAAGACACAGTAACCATGAGTCATCAACAGTGGATAAACAAGGAAAGTTTTCTGCAACAAATTACGTATAAGTGGTATTAGGACAAAAAGGCAAAACAACACGCTTCTGGATTACCTCAAATTTAAGACTCTTGCAAGCGAACGCACTACACGGATGCGATCGGTTGAGCGCTTACCTCCCCGCTGGATTGGAGGCTATCGGATAACCCTAGAAATATATGCTGGCGTTTCTAAAACGTCTTTCACAGCTTAGTCTTGCCCCAATTGGCTGGATGAAAGAATTAAGCCCTCGATGACCATTAGTTAGATACGATGAGCGAAAATCACTTGATGGTTGTAACGAATTTTTGCACTGCTTTACGATCGCCTTCGCGCTGCATTACACTGAACTCGAGCCCGGTATTGAGCAATTCCGGAAGTGACAGCTCGAAAGGTTCCACTACTGTCAATAGCATCGTTGTTGTTGCGGTTCGTCTGTTTTTTCCTGGTCTTTTGAAGTACATTGCTGCGCGGAGATCACTATTTCTATGTGATGGATGTGACGGTTTTTTGTAAAGCGTTGCTAGTAAAATAATGAGTTTTGCAGAAAGATCGTATTTTTCCTTTGAACAAGACATCTACACCATAAAACATCATTTTTTAACGAATTTTAAGAAAGCTAGAGAAATCTGCATGGGCTCCCACTTTGCTTGAGTAAGGACACCATAAATTTTCAAGAAATATTCTTTCAAAAACCTGGGCAAATTATGGACGTGTGGATTTTTCCAAATAGGTACAGTGTCATAGTAACACTTCTCGCTACACATCTCTGTCATTTTAAAAAACTGGAGACGCCAAAACGTATAGATGCAGCCAACTTTAGCATTTTCACAGCAGTACGCAGACAAAGAATTATTTCAAAGATAGTTTCTTAAGAGCAAAATTTTTGATGGTTGAAATCTTTTGAAAATATGCTAATCCTTTTCCAAAAGCAGAATCTTCGAAAAATAAAAAGCGCTTGCATTTTCTTCCAGCTGCGCCATTACCGTGGGCCCAGTTCAAGATTTTGTAGGCTATGCCTTACACATGGGCTAATGAAGCAATAGGTAAAAGCAATGAACAAGTGAATGCTTACAGGATCGAGCATGTGCACTGAAGGCAAGTAGAAATGGAAGGAATAGTGCGAGTGCGCTGGTCGGGAACATGCTTCTTCGGGAGTAAGCTTGCTACGTGGAGCGTGAGCGTGCCGGTGAAATGCCGTGACTGCTTATATAGGCAGGAGCCCGTGGAACTGGTTGCCAACTAGGGTCTGCTCGAGAGCATCAAGCAGCCGTACTCCAGTTACTGGATGGACTGCTTCACTCATTCACTCTTTCCTTTTTTATCACTTCTTCCTTTCTAAATTAAAAAATACAACTGCGCAGGGGGTGGCACGCAGACGGGCAGACAAGCCGGGAGGCGGGCAAGAGAGCGACGAAAAGGACCTTCAAGGTAAATTATTTCCACAACAATTTTTCAACCCTCAAAACTGTTGCAGGCTGTACTTCCTTGTGTTCCTCAGAGCATCGTAAATATCAGGATGAAGGAGGCCCTCACCAAAGTTTGGAGGGACAAGGGCACTTCTCCGTCTTTTCCCTCCCGCGGGCCCGCCGTAATGCAATTCCGTGCTGTCGATAGTTTTCAATTTTATTCAAATAGGTACGCGTACTTCTAAAGGATCATTTCATTTGCGTGATCATCGAAAGTTGCCCTTCTCCCTTTTTTGGTATCATTCAGATGTCTGGAAAGCTCTAGCCCAACACTTCAACTGCTACGCATGTATATTACATATAGTAGTGGACCGTAGACAGGAAGACAGCCGCCCTGCCCTTTGCGCTCGAAGGAAGCCTCAGTCGCTCGGTGGAGTTTGAGCTTAAGTGCATCGTAAAGCTTTTGAAAGAACATTTGTGGGACTAGTTAATACGCCGTCTAAACGAGAAATGTCACTGAGAGACTGAACAAAAGCATTAGTGAGCAATAAAAATGAACCGCCAAATTGTGCTGGAAACACTAAACTCGTTTGAAAAGTTTAAAATTGCTGCGAGCGAAATGAAAAGGGCTGAAATACGATGAGTACGACACTGAGTTAGCCTTAACTGACTACAGAGTTAACAGAAAATTACAAAATCCATCTTGATATCCGTTTACACAATAATATTCGAACTTCTATTAAAGGTGGGCTAAATTAGAAGGTACGACAAATACCAGCACCAGCCAGGAATAATTTTTACGCTTTTATTTGGTGGGTTGACGGTGCATGTAGAGCCTGAGAAGGGAAGCGGACGCATCTGGGTTTCGAGGCCTGCTTTCTGTTCTTGTTATCAGCGATCTCACAGTTAGTATTAAACCAAATCATCGTGAGCTGCTTTTCGTTCAGTTCGTAAACCAAATCTAACATCATGAGTTGTTTTACGGTTTATTTTGCGATATTGCAATGTAGCGTTTTTTCAAGCTGATTTTGGTGTTTAGCCATAAAAATTTTGTGCACAAATTTTGTAAAAAAAAGCCATGTTCTTGTACAACATGGCTTTTTTTGGTCCACTTTAAAGGCTGATGTTTTTTTTTTTTGTTCGATGTGATTGTTTGGTGCTTTCTGAATGCAGAAAAATGAACAGTTTTTTCCGCAGCTAAGTCTCCCTGGCTACTTTCATAATTAGCACTTGGCAGACCTCGGCGCACATTGACTTCTACATGAGAAGCTTTGCCATTCAGTGGGCCCGAATACTGATTTGCAGCTGCCCACTTTGTCAAAAGTATCCCAGAGCTATGATCCAAAAAAAAAAATTTACGCTTGTGGCCTTTGAAGGTGAATTTCGATACTGTTCATCCTGAAGGGTCTAGAATGAAAAGCACAATTTTTCAAGCGTCCTCGAGTTTTTTTTTTTCTCATTTACACACGTACAAGGCCTGTGTAAGTGTCAGTTTTGCATCATGGCCAGTTCAGTTCTTAAGTCTTCCCTCGCATGCAAATTCACAGTTTTGCGGTACACAGAAATATCTTATGCAGCGATGCAGTAAAACGAGGCGATAGTTGAAAGTGATTTTAACCTCATCCACTCTGTTTCTACAGTAGTTTTTTCAAAGCAGTGCCGACACCGCGAATATTGTTTGCTGCATATCGCCTCTCATCGCTGCTGGTGACTACAGTACTTTGTGCGTTCCTAGTAATGCAACAGTGCGTTTTTGTATACCATCTCTACCTCTTGTATTTTTCACTTCTTCTTTCAACAGAACAGCAGTATCGTGCTGGAATTTCGTGCTAGCTGAAAAGCAGATATCGCGCATTTGCCTGTATAATGTGGGCCGTACGAAGAAAACCACAATTCGTTGTGGAGAAAAGTGGTGTCGAAACAAAAGAGAGAGGGAGTTCTGTTCAACGAAAGCAGTGCTGTGATGCCAAAGAACAGTTACAAAGGGCTGGGTTATCCGGGATGGTGGGGCCAGTTGGCTCGCCAAAGTATGTTTGCAAAGCTGCCGCTGAACTCGCTGCTTTGATGTCTCGTTGGGAAGCATGCGCTGTGACGTCCAGGCTGTGCGATCCGCCGTGCCGAGCAGGCTTCACCTCTCGGCACCCTTACTAGCAGGGGCAAAATGCTTTCCTGCACAAGCGTGCAGAGAGGTATTTTAAAAGTTATAAATTTCGCAGTCACGTGACCGAACTGTTGTTTTAGTGATCGAATTGTTGCTCGAGTAAACATGAGTTTTTTGTTGATAGTATAAATCACACTCAAACAAACACAGCTTGCTCCCTCGCCGGTTTGCGGCGAGTCAACAGGGTGCTGTTTCGCTCGGCGGTACGCAGCGTGAGGCGATGACGGGACACTGTGACAAATTAATTCGAGCAATATCACTGGACAAATGGTGTTAATTTGATGAATGCGATTGACTGGCAACACAAATCACCCGCCGATTTCTCAGTCGTTCTTCGCCCCCAGGTTCGATCACTTGTTTTGCATTAGAAAGCACCGTGATACTGAGCATTAATCAGCGCTGAAATGTTGCAGAAGCGAGTAAATATAAGCAAATAGGGCTGGCAGTTAGAACTCCTCCCGGTCCGCAGACGAATTTTGACGGCGGTTTATCGTCCACAACACAGAAACATCGTTATGGCGAAATATTTTGAAAAGGCGCATACATTGCGATTGGATCACAATCGTAAGAAACATTTGAATTCAAACATCTAAGCAACAGATCCAGCTAGGTGATGAATAATCTGAGGACGATAAACCTGATAGTACGCTGAATCGACTGAGGAAAAAACGAAATCCGCTGTCAAGGGCCCAAAATGAGATGGATCCCAGTTTTTCATACCGCAAAGCCTTGCGACGTAGTAATTTTATCTGGTGATGAGCAACACGAAATTGTTAGCTCTTTCTGGAAGGCAAAATGATGGGCACTAACTCTTCTTTTCAGTCAAGAAAGGTTTCTAGCAGAGCAGCTCGCCAGAGGGCATCAGTGCTTTGAATACCAAGCACATCACTATACTTAGCTCGCACTCAAATAACCATTTTCTGTAAGCAGATCTTCGGTGAAAGAAGCGCTTTGAGTGAAACTACCCGTTAAAAGCGTCAGACAGTTGTGACACGCAGCGAAGTAGCTAACGGAGGGAAGAGGGTATAGCTAAGGCATTCAGTGGCTTCTCTCCTTTGAAATTTTTCTGCTCCAATTTCGCGCCTTAGACCTGTATTAAGCACAGTAAATAAAGCACGGCGCGGATAAAAGAGCTGGTTTCGAGCTGGCTTGTTCTATTTTGCTGTAGCGTCTCTCGCTCACTCAGCCGAGGCGCTCCATCTCGAAATCGCTGGGCTCTGTTCCAGAATATCCATGATCTCACACGAAAAATTGAGATACGCCTCTCGTGTTTTTTTCTTCACGCTTAACTCAGAATGCATATTCTGTGAGCAACCGGTTCTAGCAGAAGCACACAAATACGCTATAAATAATAAGTGCAATAAGTACATTACAAATGCTTAAGTGCAGTAAATTGAGCAATTTTCGGTAAAAATAAAAATCAAATTGTTACACTTCCTGAACAACGTATATTGTTGTACTTTCTCGGTACATATGAATCCAGGCGACCAGTCCACTGGTGAATGGCAATAAACGCAGGTACGTGAAATACTTGTAATTGGTTTGTTTGGACGTCACTTTGTTGTTTGATTAAATTTCTAGTGGCTCTTTCATTAACAGACACTTTCATCGATAATTATTTTCAGCTCCTCTAATTGCAATTTTAGCCAATCAGTGAAATAAAAAAGCATTCCAAATCAGTCGAAATGGCTATTTTTGAGGACTTGAGAATAAGAAGCATCATAAAAAACAGCGCATATGCGTATTAAAATTTAGAGGAAAACTACTGAAGGAAATGGCGAGCATCTGAAGTGCAGTTCTGCTACTGAACATTCGCTTCGTGGCAAGCCATCCATCAAATGGAATTGGCTCCGTAAAAAATAGGAAGCTGTAGTGGCAGATGCTGGTCATTAAGTTACGTGCAAACTTTTGTGTTAGCAATTAGTGCGAAAACTGGCGCGTCGGCTTTGAAAACTAACTTACGGTACTAAGGCAGAGGAAATTGGGGACATGCGTTCCTTGCGTGACACATCATGAAAAGAACGGTAATGTTAATCTACATACAGCTGGAAGAGGGCAGTAAAATACAATAATAAGCCTATCGTGAACCTCCGGCAGTAATGAATTGTGGTAATACCAAAAGCACTCAGCTAATCTTAGTGGGAATCACGAAAATCTGTGAGAAAACAGTCAGAAACCAGGATAATTTAGAAAAAAAAAGAACAGTTTTGTGGACTAAAAGTTGCTGGATCATTGAGCGCTTACGGAACAGCATTTCAGATATGATTTAAATCAGTTCAGTGATTAACTTTCTGCCTAAAATTAGAAAAATAAATTACCTTTCGTGGAAATTTTAAATCGCAACTTCACTTATTTTTGGCCTAAATTTCGGCAATTGAAAGTGAAACTGAATCTCTTGTGCATTCTTCCGAAAAAGGAAGATTTTTTTGAATCCACATTACGAATTTACAGCCCTTGCCGAGAAATAAATTTCCACAGCTTGGCGTAGAAGCGCTAGTTAAATACACGAACAAAGTTAATTTAAGTGATTGGATAAATTAATTTTAAAACCTTCCGACTTATAACTTTTTTAACTCATTAGACATATACTGCCAGTGCAGATTTGCACTTTTGGCCCAAAGCAAAAAACTTATCGAGACTTGAGAGCTAATTTTATGGCTACGGTCTTGCATATGAATTTTACCTTTCCAGTAGTCCTTCAAAAAGCTTTGTTATGGCTACAGGCAGTACACACATACATACACTAATACTCACATATACAGGCGTACACATCTTACAACGAGTTTCTGATTTTGCGCAAAAGTGCATAATCATTAAGACAGTCGTTCCGCTATATTAATTTTGATCAGAAGTGTTTGGCTGCTCAATCGGGGTAACTCACATAATCGTACTAAAAACTGTGCTGTTGCTGATCTGTCGTTGGTGCGCCAGGATCTTTTGCTTTCATCCGCCAATTCCCACTTGCATTTGTGCTGTGAATTAAACGGTCTTTGTGGTATTATGGAGTTGGCTCATATTTCTATTTGAAGCAAGGATGCAGTTGATAAATTAAAACTACAGAATGTTAGTGCACGCTTTACCGTTCTCTCGTCAAATTACGTATGCCGTGAAGGCTGATCAAGTCATAGTTCTCTCCGCGTTCGGAATGCATGAAAGCGGAAGCACTCATGAAGTAGTCCAAATGTTAGCAAGTAACTACAGCAGTTACCCGCTGATAAACCCGCCGATGACCCCTCTTTCAAAAGCTGCTTACAAACAAGCTGATGGCCGATTTGACTCACTGACATATGCCAGCAATTTGTCATGAAACGATTGAACGAAAAGTCCACCGGCAAAGTTTAACCCTCGTTTTCTTGCACCATAACAATGCATTTTTCCACTGTGCCACGTCCATGGCCTGAAAGTTAATGTGAAACTAAAATGCTTGCACTGTTAATGAACGGAACCTCTAGAATGAATCGTAGCTCTCTAGGTTGTTGAGTCAAATATAAACTTGAGGTAAAGAGGATCAAAAACCTTGCTTTCAGTTCGGAGTTATTTATTTAAACTTCAGCTTTTCAAACTCTGAATATTCATAAAATACTACAATTCTGTGGACGATAAAAAATGATTGTTACGGAATCATTTTCAAATTTCGACAGCTCATGTCCATAAGTTCAAATCAGTCAGCATCAGACATGAATTTTAGGGTCCTTCATGTAGTGGACGCATAATTTTAAGATTTTTATCGCATAAGTTAAGCGGCTTAAGCTGGCATAAAATTCGAGTAACTCGACGAACTTGGGGCACCAAGTTCAAGTTTGGAACAGTGCCAAAAAGGCGAGCAGCGCAATTTCAATCAAAACACGAAATCAGCAGCCTTCCATATTCACTATTAAATGAGAAGACATTCGGGAAGTAGTCCATGCTAGTAGCAACCATGTGTTAGCTAGACTGTTGATAACTCCGTTTTTCTAAAATTGTTTAAAAATAAGCTGTTAGCGCTGTGTAACTCCTTGCTATGTGCCAGTGACAATTCACCAGTAAAATGAATGAATGAATTGTAGGGAAGCTGGATTTTAGCAAATCTGTTTCTTCACCGTTTTTTGATACTACGAACATGCGCCTGCTGTGTAGTACAGATCATGCTGAATGCTGAACTTTCAGACACAAAACTGAAAGATTTGTAGTCAGTGCTGAAAGAGCACTTGTGGCGCATCATCGATCAGTATTTTGGTTGACGCACATCACAATGCAAAATGAAAAAAACAACTTTTTCTCATCATAATAACGTGTACTAATACAAGTATGGCAACTTTTCGCGAACACTCATTTCACTTTTTGTGAACTTTTCTGTCAAATGTTCGGAAGTACTTATTTTTGAAACACTGAAAGGAGAGGAGTGGCAGACGTGGTTAGGGTACCAGCGCAGATTACCGATTAACTGACACACTGTACATCCGAGTGTTACAAATTTCATGTCACACTGTCTAGCCATATATCATTCAAAATCAACTTTTTTATTCCTTTTCATAGCAGAGCAAACTGCTAGCAAAAAAGTTCTGCTCGATTCAATTCCACTCTCAAAGTGCTGCTTCAGTGTAATTTTGCAGGTGAAGGACATGTGAAGAAGAGGCTTCACTTTGACTCTTCCATCCTTGCACCGCTGTCATAGATCCTAGCACGGTGATACTGCTATCAAGTACATAATACTTTCGAATATGTATCAAAAGTTTCTGAGTGGCAAACTGATACAAATCAGTTTTCCAATTGCTCAGACTCAAAATCTATACACTATTTCATTTTCGAAGGAGCACGGAAATAAGCGTCTATGGCTCGGAAAAGTGATTGCGCTTTTGCACCATTCTTAAGCTTATCAGTGCTTCCGAGGACTGTCACAGAAGACGAATGTCATAGGGGAAAATCAGCTCGATAACTTCCACACAGCCAAACTCTTTAGTGGACGCACTGAAATTTTAATTGTTCAAAGACGAATTTATCGATCTTTACGCACATCTTTTGCTAATTGTCAAATTTGTCGGCGAGTAATGCGGTTGCTGGCTGCTGGTGGTGAGGAAAATTTCACGAATATGGGAAGGCGTTGGAAGGCCTCTGGAATACTATTCTCGCAAAGCGTGATTTTCACATTACCAAAGCAGAAAACTTTTTTGAGCAAAAAACCCTTCATTACACTATTTGGTATACGATCGGCGAAATGGTTATTGCAGCTTTATTTTTAACAGAAAGTTGTAGTATTCATCTACGCTTGTCTTCTGTTGTGCTACTGATTGCGTTTAGCCGTAATGCACAAGTTACGCACATTTACGAGCAAATTAGATGCAGCTGAGCTGCTGCGACTAACTAGTTGCTTAGGAGAAATATCTAGTAAGATTGTTCGAAAACTACATATTTCAATGGATCAAGTAAATTTGCAGTCTGTGCTTCAAAAGGTAACAGTCGCATTCGCTTGGGTCAAAAGTCCAGTTGGAATTGGGTGGAGTGAAACGCGTGTTACAAGCATTTGTATGGCTGGTTAAGAATTTTAGGGTAGTAGTAGGCACTTTTCCATTCATTCCAAATAATAGAGAACTTGAAGAAATGTTAGTTCTGATCAGTTGGCAAACTAAAAGCTGCATTCGGCAAAAATTACACATAAATTTATTGGAGGCTGGCAAATTAATGGGACAGGAAAAACAGCTCAGGCAATCTCCGAAGAGCTGCTGCTTGAGCCTGATAATGACAGTCAGTAGCAAGGCAGAAAGACCTGATACAGCTACGCTCAGTTTGCACATGTCTGCGATTTAGAATCCACACCATCAGTTTAATAAAGCGACAGAATTTTAGTAACGAAAATGTAACATGCAGCTGACAAAAAATCGGCGAAAAGCAAAAGCATTCCTGAGCGTGTCTGTGGATGCAATTTAGTCTCGCACCTCCAATTTGAAGAAGTATAACGTAACTGCTGTCTCCCCAATGATCACTATCAATTTAGATCACGCAGCACTTTTTTGCTCTTTCTTTTCGAAAAAAAAAAATTCAGTACCATGAAATTTTTTGCACCTTGCAAGGAATTTTTTTCCCCAAAAGAATTGGGAAAATTTACACAACTCTTACTGGCACTGTAATAATTTTACAGCATGCCAATAATGGCTTAATTTGATGAGTTATTGTTGGGACTTATTCTTCGCCCTGGCCGACGACGTTCCACTTCCATTCCCATGTAACTTCGTCATAACGCTTTATGGGAAACGCTTTTTTGTACGTCTCAAAATAGGCTGTAAGAACAAAATGCATTTTTTTTTTCAGACCCACGCTGCTCGTGAAGTCCCAATTACATTGAACACATCTTTGCTGACAGTTTTTTTTTTTTAATTCTGACCCATACGATATCGAGTGCATTCACATAAACGGTACAGTGAGACTAGGCTTAATTGCAAAACATTTCTAGTAACATAAAACTGCGTTCTGCACAATTGCAATATAGTGGAGGCATTAGCGCGCAAAAATTTCTAAACAAGAATAAAGTTGAAAAAGACATAAGACAAAAATTCCTTCTAAAACCGTAAATGGACACACACACATATGCGCATACATTACCAAGCCGTACACCGAATCGAATTGATTTGCATTTTGTTTCAGAATCCAGACAGTTTGATAGCATTATACGGTTAGTATTGTTTAGACATGAACTTGTGGAGCAGGAAATAGAAGAATATGTGGGTTAGCCTTGCACATCATCATGGATTTTGTCTTAAAATTCAGTGCCTTTTTCTTCAGGCTTTTTGAGTTTTAAGATAGCTATGAATTTAGATTTGCGATTAAAAATTGAGGAGTTGGTTTTCAAACTCTTTTGGCCTTGAACTTTTTGCTTATTTCGTAGCTTAAACTTGAATTTTTTTGATCCTGCACACAGTTGCATAATTTTTCCCCAAAATTTCAATCTTATGATCTGGCCAGCTTAAAAGTTTTCAGGCTTCTTATTGAGCGTATGATTAGGGGCTATTCTCACAATTGCAATTTTATATCTTTTCTAGTTCTTGATTTATAAAATTTCTTTGCTTTTGGACCTGGAGTGAAGTACTGAAGAGTAGATGCATAAACGTAAGCATTGTTTTCTTGGCTTTCAATCTGCACACGTCAAAGAATTTTTCTTTCATGATTTCGAGTCCTGTCTTGGTTCTGGATTACACAATAGCCCGAATTTGGGGTCGAATTGAAGGATTAGCAGAGCACTCTGGAGGTAGATTTCATATTGAAAGACTTTTATACAGTCTGAGGTTTTGTTTAAAGCTTTTATATTTTTAATTCTTGCAATTACTGAGTTAAAATACGAAGTTAGATAAACAGAAAGACACACACACACACACACACCGAGGGTTTTGCTCTAATAACCGATGGTACAAAAATGCCCAAAAAGCGCGGAGAAATAGCAGCAGACGGAGCGAACTTCAGTCACTGAACATTTAGTTGTTTAAGGCTTTTCACGCAAAAAAAAGATAGCTTCATTTAAAAATAAATACTGTGGAAGACAGAATTATTTAAGCATTCGGTATGCTATAGTTTAACGGCTGCAGAGGGTGGTTTGCAGAGCTGACCATCAGTACTTTTTCTCAGAAAATCGCAGAAACAGCCATTCTGAGTGCAGGATCAGTGAAGTGCGTGGGAAACGTGATAGTTCAAGGAGCTGCTTGCTCGTAAACATTGCCTTATAACTGCAGGGCATTATATGTGCACCTACCGCAAACAGTGGAGCTACATCGTTTATCACAGGATATTTATGGTGAAACATTTCCACCGGGCAGATATCGCTTCGGTTGCTTGTTCCAAGACAACACCGGATGCAAAGGTTTCTCTTAATTTCATAAGCATTCACTTAGCGCCAACACGATACTTTTGTTTTCAAGCGTTAGCACTTGGTGAGCACGTTTTGGAGATTGACTTCGATTCAGAGAGTGCAACAGCATCGGAGAGAGTAAAAATTTTGTTAAAAGAAAAAAAGTGGATTTGACAGCATGAATATCAAAAACTGCCAAAACTTGTGAAATAACTCTAACTCCAAAAAATAAGCCAAGGATGAGCTAAGTTTAGATTCTAAATTCACAAGAAAAATTAGAAGAAAAAGTAGAAAAAGGAGCAAAATTAGGCTGCAGCTCTTGTTTTTCCCGAAACTCTCGGCAGCAGCAGTAGCAGTGCAACACAGCTGCAAATTATGGCTTTACTATTTGAAATTTTTTATCGAAATCTAATATTAACACTTTCAGAGAGTTTCTACTCGAAATCAAAAACGGTCGCTGAAACCGGATTTGATGAGCGCGATGATTTTCCGAGCGGGATTCGTACTTCACTAAAAAATTGGCAGTCCAAGAACGGTTCGATGACAATCACAGTGGAACTTTTCTTTTATACTAAGGATTATTTGAGCTGCCTGTTGCCGAGTAAACCAGAACCAACAGCGGCACAGAAAGCAATTCGAAGAGCGTTGGTGGAAGAAATGGATGAGCTTGAAAAGTATGCTTTTGGCTTCAGTGAAAAATTGGTAACAAAATCTAAGACATTTTTCTTGGAGGAAGAAATATTAGCAAGAGGAACTGTTGGCGCTAAATGACGTTTCATAGATGCTGGTGATATTCTGTCTAATACCAAAATATGGAATGAGAGTTACAAGAAGAGAATATCTGCCCTGATCTGTCTGGCTACACGTATTCTGTGAAAAATTTCAATTCACACGACTTACTGAATCCACTTGCTCCGTCAGGAGCCTGGCTTGATTCAAATCAAGAAAAATCTAGGGGTGTTTCTAGCAGTAAGTGAATGCTAATACGAACTGTCGGTCCTTGTCCACAATGATTCTTACTGCTGTGTTGAAAGGAAAAAAGTGAAATTTGATGGCATGAATATCAAAAACAGTCAAAACTTGTGAAAGTGCTCTAACTCAAAATAACTGGCCAACGCACGAGCTGCCCGTGCGAAGATGCGTTTTTTGCATGGCTCCCCGCAGTTTCTGTTGCTACCGGCACCGGTTTTTTCGGCAAATGCTTCTAGCTAAACAAATTAA